CTTTTATAATAATATATAAAGAATAAACAAGAAAAACAAGAAATAAAGTACTTACCCGTGTCAATGACACCTAACCTTACTTTTTTTATACTAATGGTAGTAATGCACAAAATAATTTTTACTTAATTAAATAATACCAAAGAACATAGAATAATAACATGCAAAAAGCAGACAATTTCCTCTAATTACCACAATTTTTCTGCCTTTCTAGCTGTGTGACAAGAGCTATTACAAGTTATCTCTCCCATGAGAATAAAGATGGTACTAAAAGAGAAATTGACAATTCTCTGTTTTGAAAACAATGTAATATAATACATCATTTGATAGATGAAAAACTTGGATTTTTATTTGTTATAAATAATATAGAATTAAATGTAAGAGAGAACTATTAACAAATCCTGAAAGAGAGGATGTTATAGGTAGGTGTGGCAAGAGGGGTCTGATTTTCTATTTAATGGCTTTGTAATCAAACAAAATTGAAAGCTATATAAATTATGGTTTATTTCAGCAATGAAAAATTTATAGTGAGTAATTTACAATGAATTTCGTACTTATTGGAGGGCTGGTGAATAAAATAGAGAAGATAGGATGCCTACAGAACATTTTTCACCTTTCTCATACTAGGAGAAATTCGGGATTTTAAAAAATATTGCTTTATAAAATTAAGGACTTAAAATTTATATACTATATAAAATATAGATTATTAGCTACGATTTTATGCTATACTAATTAGTGTAACATAAACAAACAGTAGTTGAATAAAATTGTGAATGTACGCCACTAAAACCTCGTGACATGTGCAGTAAGTGATGCTCGGGCAGATAGTGTTAGTGACTAGAAACTCAAAAAAGTACAGAAAAAAAAACATGTTTAAACATAAGCAATGTTGAGGAAAGAATAAACCTATGATCATGTGCTAGTGCTCACAGGGATTACAACATATTGAGGTAGTGTTGCCCTCCAACAATTGGGCATAGAGCAATAGTTCTTTCTGTTCTTGGTGGTGCAGAGAGGTAAGTAGCTTTTGTGAATAATACTTTCTGATTTTTAACGCCACCATTTTTCACTTCAACATCCTTACTCATAACCTTACAAATTAATATTTTTTGACTTCATATCATAATACGTATATGAGAATAACTATTAATATGTGATAAGACATCACATGTATCATTTTTCTATTTTCAGACTCGTAAATTTTCCTATTATACATCAAATGCTTTTAAGAACTTAATTCTAGTCATGACTAATTGTTGTTGGATGTTTATTGAAAAGTAATTTCTGATTATGTCTACAACTTACAGCCTTGAACTTTAGGAAACATGGTCCATGAGGTCCAGTAAATCATCAGGTTGATTTCCATCGGTGTCAGTATTATTCATTGTTAAGTCTGCCAGTATTTGATTCAGTTCATCTCTTTTATCCCTCTACAATAAAGATGAATTCATACAGCATTAAGATATTACTCCACAGATGATAAAGCATCAGAGGAGGCTAAACCAAAATACTATTATATGTTTTGAATACAAAAGAAACTTTCAAAACAAGTATAGTCAATGACGAACCTAGAATTTTAGTTTGTGAGGAAGGCAACCTACAAAATTAAGCAGACCTCAACTTCTAAAAAATGTACTGTAGTACATGAAAAATTGAACTATATAAAGAATAGGCATATTTTGACAAAAATGAGTTATTTCAGTAACCTTTTACAAATATAACCCCACCTGCCAAGTTTATCATACATGCTTCCTCTCTTGGGACTAATCTACAAAAGCAGGCACTATATATTTGTACTAATGCTGAATTATAATTTTTACATTATTTATAATTATGTAAACTTTTAAAGCTAATTTCACAAATTTCTGCCAAACATTTTTTTTAAAACATCTTGCTCTTTCAAAACTTTGAAAACAATATATATATAACAAACAATGTCATTCAGAATGAAATGAAATTAACAGATTAGGTATAAACTCAGAGAATAAGGTTTGGTAGAGCCATTAAAGTGCTATTCACCTCTTTCTCTGGACTACAAAGCAGTCTAGACATCATTCTGTGCCATACAGAAGTCTCTAGTGGGGGTCATATGTATCAAACCATTAAGCTGTTTCCCTCCCATTGTACTCTGAAGATATGTTTAAGGTGCTTTAAGCAGCTAAAAGATTACCCAGCTTTGCATGTTGTGACCAGAAGGGTAAAACAGACTCACTAAAAGTTTATGGGTTGACAGATACAGGCTTTCATTGCAAAGACTGAGAGTCTCTCCAACTGAATCAAGCTACAGTCTTGCTTTTGTCCTTGACCCACCTGACCAATTTATATCAAAAATTTAATTAGACTACTTTATTCTCAATGTATTTCAATAAACACGAAATCAAATCACAGTTTGAAATTTAAGTTTTAATGATTATGATTTTGCCAGAAAAGACATCATCAGGTACAGACTGAGACTGTTTGTAAACAGGTGTATATGTGTTTAATCAAATAATTGAAAGTAACCTTGACATTCACCTTGAGATACAGTGTTTTGGCAAAAGTATTCACTCCCTACCAATAGTGTCACATTTTGACGAAATACAAAGTAATGTAAACAATTTTTTAAGGAACTTGTTTTTATTCAAAACTCTAAATGATCAAACTTCACACTTTTATGTGTGAAGGAGGTTGAATGTTACCATAACCTGCAAAGAAAATATATAAATTGAAATTTACTGATTGCATAAGTATTCAGCTCCCTAAGCCAGTACTTGGTAGAAAAACCTTTGGTAGCAATTACTGCTGTGAGTCTCTTTAGATAGGTCTCTACCAGCTTTGCACAATGGGACGATGTAAGTTTTGCCCATTTTCCTGGCAAGATTGCTCCAATTCTGACAAGTTCATTGGAGATCATTGATGGACTGCAATCTTCATGTCTCGCTATAAATTTTCTATTGGATTCTATTCAGGACTTTGACTGGGGCACTCCAGGACATTCACTTTCTTCTTTTGAAACCACTCCAGTGTGGCTTTGGTCTTGTGCTTCGAGTCATTGTCCTGCTAAAATATAAATTTTTCGACCCAGTTGTAGATTCTTGGCTGACTCAAGCAGGTTTTCCTCTAGGATTCACCTGTACTTTGGACCATCCATCCTCCCCTCGATCCTGACAAGCTTCACAGTCCTTACTGATGACAAGCATCCTCAAAAAATAATGCTGCCACCACCATGCTTGACAGTTGGGATGGTGTTGACAGAGTGATATGCTGTGTTGGGAGTGAGCCAGATGTAACACTTTGAATTTAGACAAAAAAAATCCAATTTTTGTCTCGTCTGACCACAAAACCTTCTACCACATGTCTGCAATATCCTTTACATGCTTTGCTTTGTCACGAACTCTATATGCAATTTAAGATGATTATTTTTCAGTAATGACTTCTTTCTTGCTATCTGCCCATACAAGCCAGCTTTGTGTAGGGACTGGGATATTGTCGATGTATGAACACAAACTCCCATCTCAGACATGGAACTTTGCAAGTCTTTCAAAGTCACTGTTGGCTTTACAGTGGCATCACTAACCTGTTTCCTGCTTGCCTGGCAGTTTAGTTTGGAAGGGTGGCCTGATGTGGGTAGTGACTGGGTGGTATGAAGCACATTCCACTTATTAATGATGGACTTCACCATACTCAAAGAGATAATCAGTGACTTTGAAATTTTCTTGTAACCATCTCCTGATCTGTGATTCTCTACCCATTTATCCCTGACTTGTTTGGAAAGTTCCCTGGTCTTCATGGTTGGTTTGTCATATCACTATGTGAGTTGTGGTTTGAACTGATGCATTTACTCTGAAGTCAAGTTAAACCACTTTGATTACACAGAGAGAGAGAGACCATTACACTAATTTTGTGACCTTTCAAACTAATCTTTTTCACCTGAACAGATTTTAGGGTTACCATAGTAAAAAGGTTGAATACTTTATGCAATTGAGAATATTTTCATTTTCTTTGAAACTCTAAATTAATTACATAATATCAACATGTTTTTAGCTTTCTCAGTTTGTGTAGATTTTAAATATAAAGGCCCACTTGAAAGTTTCATGATTGCAAGCTCAGATGGCAACAAAATGTGGAAACTTTGCAGGGGGGGGGGTTTATAGTTTTGCAAGGTGCTGTAAGTGGGGAGGAGCTTAAATTGGTTTGGTCATTTAGAACTTTTCTGGATTTGTTTGTAGACTTGTATTTATTTCTGAAATTTCCAGGCTACTTAGTTTTTACCTTTTTCACAGATATGTAAGATTTTGCAGTTTGTTTTCAGAAGAAATTGGTGTTTAGTTTCAATAATGTGGGATGCAAAAGTTGAATCCATTTTCCTTAATTTCCAGCTTCTAGAATGTTATTTAATTCTTATTTCTATTGGACGTCCTGTTTGACCTATGTATACTTTATTGCAATTTTTACACATTAATTGGTAAAAACCACTCTTGTTGGACTTTTCAATTTTGTCTTTACTGTTGCACAATATTTTGCCTAGATTGTTTGTAAGGACTTATGTGGCTGGTCCAACTCCAACCATCACTATATCTGCCAGTAACCAATATCCTGGAGACAGCAGGAAGGAGGGTGCCTCAGTGGAAGTGGCTAACTACATGTTGGTGGAATGCATTGTACATCACCTGGCAGCATCAGGGGTTGTACATCAGTTATATGGTAGATTATGCATCAATGCCATCTTCACTGGCAAAATACCACCCTACTCTCAATGAGTGGGAGTGAGCACACTCAGGAGGAAGCCTCCATGGTCCACCACTCCAACAGCTAGGAACTGGTAAGTAGCAAGGACTCCCATATTCCACTAAAAGAAGGAGGGAAACAGTGCATTGGAAAGTCTGGAGGAAAGCTGCACCAGAGACAGTGCAATGGGTGACCACGAAATCTTATTTTGAAAAGCAGATCGCTCGAGTGAGTTATAATACACAGATCATTAGGGATGGGCAGCAATTCCTGTCTGTCTTACATTCTGCCATGTGTAAAAGAGTGGGGGATGGAAGGAGTTGAAGAGGAAGCGACACCACTAACCAATGTAGTAGTGGAGAACCATGGCTGTACCGACCAAAACGGAGCCACCAAAAGAACACAACACACTGTGGTCTGGATGATGGAATATACCTAGGGAAGCAGACAAATGGGAGGGTAGGCATACAGGTAGAAGCCCATCCAATATTGACTGAGAGAATCTAGTGCTCCAGCCAAGGGATGTAGAACAGGAGACCAAAACCGTGGGAATTGGAAATTGATATGGGTGCAAAGGCATCAAGATCTGGAACACCCCACTAGGAACAGAGCCCCAAAAACACCAGTGGATTCAGTGACCACTCTGTAGGGAGAATCTTGTCAAGAAGAAATAAGCAATCTGTGACTAGATTCACAGCATGTGGAATATGACAAGCCATCAAATGAATACGATAACTGTAGGCCCAAAACAGGAGTTTCAGTGTCTGAAAACAGATCTCTCAATTGAGTGCCCCTTGCCTGGTAATTTATGAGACCACAGTCAAGTTGTCAGAATGAACCATCACCAACTGGCCCTGAAGAGCTGGAAGGAAGTGAACCAATGCCAAACAAACTGTAAGGAGCCCTAAGAGACTGATGAGGGGGCAAGAATTCTGATATAGTCCACCACCCTGAGACCTCCCAAGCATCCAGGGAGGCACCCCAACATGAAATAGAGGTATCCGTAAAGAGATGATGTTACAGAGGAGAAGGAGGAAGAGGAACACTCATAGTAGTGTTGTCTCAATCCAACCACCAGGTAAAATCGGTCTGTAAAGGAGGAAAAGAGGAGAATCCAAGGAATCCAGAATGAGGCTCCACTGGTCCATGAAAGCCCATTGAAGGTGATATATGTGGGAATGACCAAGAGGGAGGAGGGCTTCCAGAGAAGCCCATGTCCCCAAAAAAGATAAAAACTTCTTACACAGTGGGAAAAGGAAAGGAGGATAGGTTGAGAAATAATAGTGCTATAGCCTGCAAACAAAGGGCATTCTTCTGAAGCAGGTTTTGTACCATCACTGAAAGACGCTGGCTGGAAACTGGATCCCGAGGAAAGAGGATGCTAGGATGACAGAAGAGGAGAATCAAAATGAGGACCAGACCATCAAAGACAACTTGCAAAATACAAGGGTCTGTGGTGAAGGACCTCCAAAAGTGGTCAAAGTGGAGGGGCATAAACCCCACAAGACCCAATCCTACTACATAGCCTCAAAGACCATTGATTGCCCCCAGGACAGCACTACAGTGAAACTCGGGAGTACAGAGAGGCCAGAATCAGAAAGGATCTCTCAACTGCAACTCATATTGGAAGTTGTCAGTTCAAAATAATAGTATACATTTCCTTCACTCGTGATTCAATGAGAAGAAAAGAATGATCTTTCACGACTGCCCATATTATACTCACATTAACATATAAGTAAATAATTAAAAAAAACTGGTTACTAAGACTGGGGCAAGGGGATGTAGTGGGTATATTTTATAACATAACAACCTTTTAATATAATAAGATATCAAGACAACAGTTAAAGTTACTTCTTGTTACTGATGAAAACAAGTATTGTCAATAGCTAGAATGGGAAACCCATAAAATTATGCATCAAATGGTACAACAGACTTTACAATGAAATTAAATGTCACGGCAATAATCAGAGATAGAACCACAAAGAGTTACTTCTCGTTACTGATGAAAACAAGTATTGTCAATAGCTAGAATGGGAAACTTACAAAATTATGTATTAAATGGTACAACAGACTTTACAATGAAATTAAATGTCACGGCAATAATCAGAGATAGAACCACACAGAGTTACTTCTTGTTACTGATGAAAACAAGTATTGTCAATAGCTAGAATGGGAAACCCATAAAATTATGTATCAAATGGTACAGCAGACTTTACAATGAAATTAAATGTCACGGCAATAATCAGAGATAGAACCACAAAGCGTAACTTCTTCTTACTGATTATAACCTACAACATCAATAATTAGAATGATAAACCCACTACATTATGTACCAAACTAAATGTACAAATTACTAGTTCAACTTAGTCTTCAGTTATTTTAACATAAAAAACATTTACGTGGAAGATAGGTATATATACACAAATTTCTGTAAGTTGAAACATGTTGGATAAGTGGAACTACATAATTTAAAATGGTAATAAAAGTAGAGAGATACTCTGATTTTCTCCTTCTGAGAATAATATAGACATTTTAAAATACCATCAAAGATTATACAATCTGACTTATCTAACAATATTGACTATTGGAAAAAATGTAACACTGTAGTTCAAATCTAGAGTACAACTTGTTTACAAAACAGAAGTGATTAGCTTAAAATACTAGATTTATAAAAACCACATTCTAACCTTACTGATGTCTATATTAACCACAAGTTGTCCATCTTGTTCTATTCCTTGGAAATTCCTAAAAAAAACAACAAAAACAACATTAGATGCATATCACAGTAATAATACATATAATTTATGGGCTTTTGTGGTAAAGTTTCATAGTTTTAAATAAATATATATATATATTGCAAACAGACCTATTAATGCTACGTATAAACTACAAAATGGTCAGGAATGCCAATACACTTCATCATAACACTATTTCTGTACATTTCTGTGAAGAATTGTATGTCGACAGATATAGCAGTACGGTTCTGTGAAGAATTGTAAGTGTACAGATTTAACAGTAAGGTTCTGAGAATAATTCCAAGTGGACACATATAACAGAATATTTGTGTGAAGAACTGTAAGTGTACCGATGTAACAGTACGGTTCTGTGAAGAATTGTAAGTGTACCGTTGTAACAGTCGGTTCTGTGAAGAATTGTAAGTGTACCGTTGTAACAGCCGGTTCTGTGAAAAATTGTAGGTCTACAGATATAACAGCATGGTTCTGTGAAAAATTGTAAGAGGACAGATATAACAGTATGGTTCTGTGAAGAATTGTAAGTGGACAGATGGAACATTACGGTTTTGTGAAGAACTGTAAGTCTACAAATATAACAGTACGGTTCTGTGAAGAATTCTTAGTGGACACATATAACAGAACATTTGTATGAAGAATTGAAAGTGTACCGATGTAACAGTATGGATCTGAGAAGAATTGTAAGTGTTCCGTTGTAACAGTCGGTTTTGTGAAGAATTTTCGGGCTACAGATATAACAGCATGGTTCTGTGATGAATTGTTATTGATAAAGTCAAAAATAAATTACAATTATGAAACTATAAATTATGATTAACTAATTACTAGTAGATTGTACTCAGCTCAGTTATACAACAATGAAACTCCGAAAGATTTCATTTTAGAATGAGGTCATGTCTTAAATACAGACTAAGCTATTACATTTTATAGCCTGACCAGGCAAGGAACTTGTCTACTGTCTCATGGGACAGTTCCGTGTCATACTTAATCTTTAATAATATAATCCAATAACACACAATGATCAAAGTGCAGATTGAACTGGACCTCCGTTGAACTTAGACTTCGAGATTAAACAATTCTCAGAATACTAGGTTTATTTATTATACTTAACCTTGTGTAAGAAGAATACTTTGAAACTGCCACATTATAGTGCCCATGTTATGATTGAACTATGTATTGTGAATGCTGTTTTGATGCTTGCACATTATATTCTTCCAATTTTTAAGGAAGTCAGTTTGTTTTTCTGATATAAGAGAACTAGAACTCACTGTGAAGTCCTGTAGCTTTTTTTATTTTCTATTTCCTGCTAATCATGTACTGTTTAAACTTAGTTTCAGTAAAAATGTATTTTAATTGTTAAATACAGTCATCTCTTATTTCCATCCAAATACACTTGAATACCCTGCATTAGTCCTTTCATTAGCATAATTAACCAGTTTCTTTCTGTTCTTGCTGTAATAAAATGTTTCATTTTGATTCTAATTTCACACAGTCTGTTTCATTCCACCTGTAACAAATCACTACATGTCTTTTAATATATTAGATTTATGAATCTCAGTTGTTTGCACTGATTGAGTGATGGTGCACCGATTTTATCCTTGAATTGCTACAGTTTAAAGTGGCTAAGCTGGTAAAGTTTTGACTCATTTTAGGTTTAACAAAAGTAATAGATTATACTGACTGCATGGACTTGTGGTGAACAAATGACAGGTCTGAAATGTTACTTGTATATACCTCAGATTAAAAATTCATGGAGGACTAGTTACAACAATTAAATATAAAGTTGTGCTATTAAGTATGATTTTATCATATTTAGATACTTACTGAAAAATAAAAAATAATGGATACAGAAATTAGAATAGGTTATACATCAGAAACTGTTTTCATTCATAACCTTTGGATGAAATGCAAAATAAATTAATGATTTTGATTTGTTCATTAAAAATTTTGTTATGATACTTAGTTTTTAGATATTTCAAAGCACTACAGCCAAAGACTGCAAAGGGTACCATGAACTGACAGTTACTGTGATATACCTTACTTAATCATACTGCACCCTCTATACTAGTACAGCTAGCTCCCTCTACTATTCTTGAGTAATCCTCACTTTAGAGAATTGGCAAGTACAAACCAAAAATACTGGCATATCAGTGGGGAGGAAGGGTGGAAAGTGGGTGAGAAGAAAAAAGTACCTATCAAAAATACATTTTCAGTGTAAGAAAATGTTAACTTCCAAAATTGTCTTAGTGAAGGCACATCAATATCCAATCAAGTGGAAAGTGACTGCACTGAAAGAACAGGTGTGCAAGAATATGAAATGAAAGCACACCTATGGGGTATAGCACTACTACTGGAACAGGTATGTTCACTGCCCAGTAATTAACACAGGAACAAAAAGACGGCAGAACTGAATTAGCAGGCACCAATGCATTCAGAAAAGAGTCATACAGCCTCGAATCAGTGGAAAAGTGTTGTAGAACCATGACTTGAAACAGTATGATGTTAACAAACCTGGAAAGTCTAGTGTGAAAGTGACAATGGGCTTCTACAAGTGTGGTCCATCTGGGCAAAACATCCAGTGGAAATACCTTGTATAAGATATTGAGATGAACAAGTGCGGTCCTTCCGGGCAAAAAACAACCAGGAAAAGTGCCTTGGATGCTTAGGATGAAGAAAAAAAATTATAGACATGAATGTGATCTTGACGGTTTTCATAGCCAGCCCATTGTAAACAGACATGTCATACTTCATCGACGTATGTAGCGGAATGTAGTACCAAACATATTGATATGGTGCCAGAGAAAATGAAATAACTAAATTTGGCTAGGGTTAAAAGTTTGTGAATTGTATATGAATAGGCCAAGTGTGGTCCATCCAGTGTAAGCACTTTGCATAAACTTGTGAGATCAAGTGCAGTCCACCTGAGCATAAAACATCCAGAGGAAGTACCTTGGATACATAATATTCAATAATGTGACCAAGTGTGGTCAACCTGGGCAAAAACATCCAGGAGAAGCCAAGTGCAGTCCATCTGACCAAAAAAAAAACATCTAGTGGAAGTGCCTTGCATAACATATAGAGATCAACAAGTATGGTCCACCCGAGCAACACCTTGGATGCATATGATAAACCCGAGTGCAGTCCGCCTAGGAAAAAACATCCAATGGAAGCACCTTGCAAAGGAAGTTTTTGATCAGCAAGTGCAATCTGCCTAGGCAAAAACATCTAAGGGGAAACACCTTGAATCTTATGTTATTGTATAATCATTGTTCGGTAATGAATATAATGATGAGAGCACTTTTCTTCTTGCTGAGTGCGCACATATGATATATAAATTCTGATTTTGTTTGTCATAGGAAACCCACTCAGAAGGAATCCTCCTCGGTCCACCACTCCAGCAACTGGGAACCGGAAGTGGCAAGGGCTCCCTTGCTCCACCAGAAGAGAAGGGGGGAGAGCACACTTTGAGGAGTCCAGAGGAATGATACACAACAGAGACAGTGCAATGGGTGTCTGTGATTCCCTATTTTGAAAAGCAGAAAAACCTTAATTGGAAGAAACACCCCATCTCAATAGTGAGTGTTATAGAAGGATACAGATTTAGTACTAATATAATATTAAGCATACCTGACCAAGCAACATCCACCACCAGTTGGGATCCTGAAATATGATGAGGATCAACTAAATACGATAAAAAATAATAATATTTTGATGGAGGAAGATGATACTCGCCTGAGAAAGACAGGTTGTGCAAAGATTGCGTGACAAATAACATAACAGCCTGAATGATCTCCTCCAAAGGACAGCAGAATCGAGAAGCTAAAGGCATAGTTAGATGGTGAATGTAATGCGAAGAAACATTATTTAAATGGTGACCAGTCATACAAGTTGAATCCAACCAATGAGTTCAATAAGCGATAGATTACTGGAAACAGAGGAATTCCATGAAACAAATAGACAGGAACAAGAACTAGAAAAAAAAAGAGACAGTACAAGCCACATAACATAGCATGGAACCAACTGGACAAAGTAGTCAATCCAGATTCGAAAAGGAGTACAGGTGGGAAATGGAAAGTAAGTAAATAGAAGAAAAGGCTAAACAACCTTCCCAGGCAGCCAATGTTATGGGAAGGAAGGCCCAATCCATATAGAGGATAACACACGAGGAATGGTAAAGGATGCAGGAAACAGAAATGGCATAAATATTGGAACAACAACGACCCGATGCAATGAGGAAAAGGAAATATGGACAAGGAACACATTGCAATGGGTTTAAAGGGAGAACCAGAAGGACAACACTGAGATCCCAATCCAGCAGAACAAACGAATGTAGTGGACAGACCAGAGGAAAGGAACAGAAAAGGAGAGAAATAACCAGGGAGGAGAACACATTCTGGAAGTTAGAAAATGGAAGGGGTTCAACACAGCAGCCATACAACTAGCAACAGCTGACATGGACGAACCCTAATGAAACAACCAGGTGAAGAAATGGAACAGAAGGATGGGATGGGTGGAAGCCATGGTGAATGGACCAAAGTCTGAAGGAAGACCAATGCCTCTGGTACACAGACAAGGAGGAAAGTAGCAAGGTATGGGCAAGAAAAGACACTACACTAGGGGTGAGTCCCTACGCTGAGGTGAGGGACTGGACAAAAGCTATGTGTGGAGATGGAGTTTGGTGACATTGGAATGAACCATGTCAGAACACTGTGGTCAGAGGAGAGACTGGGACAGAGGTAAGGGCAGGGAATATCACTCCAGCAAGGGCCATAGCAGATGGAACTATGTCTGAGCAGGCCATTAGAGAGAAACGAGCAGGACATGGCAAGGAATGGTTTAAAAAAGGGAAAAGTTCTGGAGAGGAGTCTAATGGGAAGTTACGTATCCATGAGAAGACCCCTCCAAACTTGACTGAATGCATCTACTCCCAGAGCTGAAGTGTATGTAGAGGAACAAATTTTAATGTTCCAGTGAGTGGCAAACACATTTATATGT